CTTCTATGTGGCAGCCGTGGAAGAGATGCAGCAGCAGACAATGGTTGAATCTTTGCCCTGGAGCTACTCTACATACACTGTTTAAAGGTTTTCTTGTACATTGAAATGAGGTCAGCCATGCCGCTGCCGTGACTCAAATAATGCAGCTTGCTGGACTCTATTTTTTTAAAATATGTATCTTAAATAAATCCATTAAATATACACGTAACAAGCTTTGATATGTCTTTAAATGAGTGTGAGCTGAGGAGATAAGTGAATGTAAATGTGGTGAGATTACAAGTGTCTTACTTATCAGTGGAGTAATTGCATCAGTGTGACAGTTCGGTCTGTGTGGTAATTTTTTATCGCCGTGAGGGACAAGACCTAATTGTTTACTTTTCCCAATTTATTGTAACTCGCAGCTGTCACATTAGCTCTCTTTTTGAAGTCCTTCCTGCTTAACTCTTCCTGCAGGAAGAAGCCACAGCAGTGAGCTTAAGTGGCCACTGAAAACGCTGCTGTTACAGTCCAGACGACCACGAAACTCTTATATCGCTCAATGTGTGCAGACCAGTTTTGGATGTAACTACAGGAAGTAAATGTGGACTCGCACACCTGACAATGTGGCCCAGATTTGGATTGGATTGACTGGTGTCGACCATCTTTACATCAGATTATTGGTGAATGAACGGCACACAGACTGTTTCACTTTTCAGACCTGAAAGCTACAGCCATGTTTTTGTCCTGCTTTTTATCCTGGGGGTGTGTACGCCATAGTGGCTAATGTTGTTTGTATCTATACTTGAGTCTGCACTGCTGTGCCATCACAAGGGAACTGAGCTGTTGATGTTGGACTTGGAGCTGATCCAAGTGAGTCTAAATGTGTACAGACAGAGCCGAGAAAAGGAAAAATACACATCCTCTACAGTGGAAGAATACTTTATATACTGAGTGAGTATTTTGAGCGAGATGATACAGTTACAGCTGGTGACATTATGTTTAACAGGGGCATTATCCTTGTTGATGACTGGCTGACCAAAGCATCCAGGCCACGGGACGGCTTTGCAAACACAAAAGACAAGTTGTAGACAAGTTATTAATAATTCCAGTTTTTCAGTTTTTCTGCTGCTCCCGATGATGCCTGGGGTGTAAAAACTGCCCAACCAATCAGGTGGTCAGGAATAAAAGGACATTTTGTGTTTCTTGTTCAGACATGAACATGAGCGGGGGACTTTTTGTAAGCCTAATTATTAAAAAATTGACGTCTCATGACATCTCAGTAGCGGTGTCCTTGGTTCAACCCCCGGCTGGGGGGAATTTTGTTGCACGTCATGGCCTTTCTCACCCACGTATCCACTTCCTGTCCGCCTCTGCACCAAGAGCCCAAATAAAGAGAAAAATCTTTGTCTGATGATAGCTCCTTTAAAGAAGTTGTATGATTTATGAATTCTAAACTTATAAGTTGACTCACTGACACGTCTGTGTCTGTGACTGCAAAATGCTGATAAGGTTATGAGTAATACATACCCGGGGAGCTTCTTATCAAGAGCCTGACAACCCACTGTGATGAATACATGTTAATGTTATAAATAAATACATGATGAATAAAGACAGAGCGCAAAATAAAACAAACTTCTTTGCTTCTCTAGATTCGTGCCAGTACTGTAGACAGAAAACATCACATTAACTGAAATCAGCCTCCTACGCTCACCATCATCTGACCTCTGATCAAGTGACACCCACTGCTAATTTCTTTTAGAATTTCTGATGAGCTGATATGTGACTTGATGTGTGTCTTTTTCACTAAACATGAATGAACTGATTTGAGCTCCGCTGAGGAGGAGGAGAGGCTCCCTGGGATCAGTGCGATCTCATCTGAGTAAAATCATAAAATCAAAATCTTTTCCAGGAAGAAAAACAAATAGGATTTCTTCTTCATTCAAGCAGAATGAAGCCAAGTGCTTTTAAAAAAGGACTCGAGTAAATTATTAATCCGGGTCTCCTCCGCCTGTGCCATCCTAGCCTACTTTTCTTGGCACTTTGGGGGAAGCACACTGACTTGTTGCTCTCCATGACACTTCCCAGGCCATACATTATACATGCAGCTATTCTGCACAGATCATGCATACTCGTCGTCACAGCCATGAAACTGGAGCTGCTGTACTGTGAAAGTCTTGAGCCACCCATTATTTCTTTATATTTTGCTACCAAGAAGCCAGACTCTGCACCGTTTTTGTTTTTAATTGGTTTAGAGCAGCAGATCTCCAGACTTTCTGAAGGTCTTCCAAATCTTTTCTTTAGACATTGGCTTGAAGCCTCATCAGAAATGGTCTCAGTGGCTGCCAAGAAGCCATTCTTAAGGGGGAGGCTCTGTTGGACATCTTGTCAATATCAGTGAAAACGAATGCAAGAAGGCACCATCAGATTTTGATCCACCATACATTTCCATCTGGAAAGCATTTGATTGGCATCAGCTTCATTTTTCAGAATGACAATGATTCCAAACTGACTGCCAGTGCAGTAAAATCATACTGGGATAAAGAATCATACAGTGGAATGCTATCAGTCATGGATTGGCCTCCCCATTCAAAGAAGAGCTTTGAATGTCCTTCAAGAAGCCTGGAGAACTATTCCTGAAGATTATTTAATGAAATTATAAGAAGGCTGCCTCAGAGAGTTCAGGGTGTGCTGAAGAATAAAGGTGATCATACTAAATATTGACATTCAAAGTCATTAGAATTGGCAAGAACGCTGTTTTCACCTTAAATCCTGTATTTTCATGTGTGTTGGCACGTATCTGAATAAATCACTGCAGCTATATCAACAACATATCAAGAAATGAGGGGTGGCTCAAGACTTTTGCACAGCACTGCAGGTGATGTTTTGTGATGTATTCAGGGTTAAAAACAGCTTAAACACTTAAAATTTCTAACACTGTTTTTAATGCCACATCACAGCTGACACAACCAGAGAAAATTACATCATTTCCTTCAGGTTGTTGGGTGTTTTTGGTGCGTTTAGATGCGACAAGTAAAGAAAGCTCTGCTAGGTTTTTCTTCATCCTCCACATCTCATATCACAGAGAACGAGGCCATTTATGTTTAATTTCAAGTCCTATGTTGTAATGGAGCTGATGGAGGGAGGCGCAGTTCATCAAACTGTCATTTTCGCTCACAATTCTGGCTTCTAGTCCATCAACAAACACGGTTTTGTCTGGTTTCACACATTCTCCTTCACTTTTGTCCCTCCATAAAAGTCCAGATTCACTCCCCAGCAGGCCGTGGCAGGCTGACATCACTTCTTATTAAGATATTTCATTGATTTTATAATTAAAGTTAATGGAAATTCACTTAATTAAAGAGACATACCTGTTTTTTAATTAATCCAAAGTCTGTTAAGTAACCATGTTAAATAATCTCCGGGAACACCATAATCTGGTGTTAAGTTCTTACAGTCTCTTATAGTCAGCACAAGAAACAAGTAAGAAATAAGGTCAGCTTAAAGCGCCGCACTGAAAGGACGCATTACACTTACAGTGATGATGTGTGTCACTGTCATGTGCATCAATCATACGTTCCCTGAGATGGCACTCAGTCATAAACACAGCTGCACATTAATACAAATGTAATATAGATGGAGCTTTTGTACTGCAAGCATCATTCACCCATTCATACACACACATTCTATGCCTAAACTCATTTAACCTAACCTCACACACTCCAACCAATGCACTGGAGGAAACTCAGGGTTCAGTATCTTACCCAGCGATACTTGGTCATGCAGAAAGGCCAGACGTCACTGGACTTAAACTCCATCTCTCTGCTTGCTAGCAGAAAGTGCTGCTGCTTTCAGTAACCTGCATTTTGGATATTTTGATTGGTGCGTGACCAGAGCCTGACAACCAATCCTATTGGACTAGAGCGAGCCAGTCAGTCTTACAATGAGAGCTTTGTTAGGACCAGCGGTGGAACAATCAAGTATTGATGCATTTATTGTAAAGCTTTAGTTCATTTTTATTTAGCAGGCTTAAAAATATATGATGCTGTATTATTTTATTGTGTGAATGGGTGGATGACAGGTTGTGTAAAGCGCTTTGGGGTCCTTAGGGACTAGAAAAGCGCTATACAAATACAGGCCATTTACCATTTACCATATTCATGTATGTAGGGTACTTTTACTTGTGGTACTTTAAGTATAATTTGGTATTAACGTATCTGTACTTAAACAGGGACTTCTAGGTAAAGGGTCAACATGCTTCCTTTCACAAAAGTACCTTACAAAAAGTACCTATCAGAGGTACTTTTGAAAGGTACTTTTTCTCATTACCTGAAAACTTTCACCAGCAGGGGGCAGCAGTTAACATCTAGTGCAAAGATATTTCTGATCTGCTGCTGCTTTTTTAAACGTTTAATATTTCCTTTTAACTCCGCCCAAATTTCCTCAAGAGTAAATTGTGAAACAAAAATAATGATTTGTCTGGTTGACTCACTACACCATCTAGTGGTGCTAATTTGCATGGCATAAAAGTACAGCCTGACCCTAGTTCACCTTCAGTAGGTATCTCTTCAACACAGTACAAAGATGTTTTGGATATAAAGTCTTAGCAACCTTTTTTTCATATTCTTGAGCTTTAAATACTTATGCAGCTTCTTTTTGAGTAATACACCCATATGGAGGCTCAGGGGGCCTGGAAATCATATTAAATGTTCTCCACTCTTCTACAGTTTATTTATTTCTGATCAAATATCCTGATGTTCTCATTATTTAAAACATGTGTATTTTAGAGATTTTAAAATTGCACTATACGATTAACATCTTTTTAATTTTAGGACTTTAGAGCCTGGTGTGAGACATCCTGAAACCTATAAGGCCTCATTTTCAGATTAATGAATTCAAAACCTTGTTAATTTTTAAGAATCTGCAGGAAGCCTGGTATTTAAACACACACTCACACACAGACACACACAGAAAACCAATGAGCATGACATTTCAGCGCGCAGGTCAGTGCTGTGCGTCCTCACCCTTCCAGCTGCTGTGCGTATCCACGGAGACAGATGTCAGCAGAGGCAGCAGGCTGAGCGGCGACCACCGAGGTCCAGAGCATCCCTCGTCCGCCTCACATCGGCAGACCACCCGAGGAGGAGCAGTGCCGCGACTCCACGATCTGGGTCAGAGTCATCCTGAAGAAGAACGCAGACATCACAGGCCCGCATGGATCCTAACATCCAGCCGCAGTCGCAGCATCCTCCTCCTCCTCCGTCTGCAGCTGCTTCGGATGCAATGAATTCCACCGAGACTCAGACGGGAGCAAATCCATGAGGTTCTCTCATCCACGCTCGACGACGGCTCTCTGCTGCTGTATGAGAATCTAACTGCATCAAGCATCAGTGAAAGACTGCCTCCTCCTCTTCCTCCTCCTCCTCCTCTCCCTGCCTCTGCCTAATTCACTGCTTTATCGCTCTATTTCTGTCTTTCTCTAATGCTCACCCATATTTCCACTTCACTGCGCCCTCTTCCTCTCTCTCTCTCCCGCTCTTCCTCTCTAATTCTCAGCTGTGTCTCAGCACTCCGCTCTGCCTGTGCCCAGAGGATGTTGAACATGTGTTCAGGATGGGGGTTGGGGGACTAATGACTTCATAGGTGGCACTCTTACTTCTCCCACTGATAGGTTAGGGAGGACGGCACCCTGCGCTAACTGTTTAAAGATAAAAATCAGAGCCTGGCCTCTTTTTTTTCCCGTCTTTGTAAACGTTCCTATATTTGAAGCAAACACTTGCTTAGATGAGATTAACCATAAGGCTGAAGGAAATCTGTGGAAGGACAGCTCTGCAGGAATGAAATGAGAGGAGGGATGAGTGAGCCACAGTACTCCACGTTATAGAAGAGGAGCAGAGGGGAAAGGGAAGATGTGGGAGGCAGAATAAAAATGGACAAACAGTGGAAAGAGGGAGGGGGGAGGAGAAAAGAGAGCTTTGGAATATTTATAGAAGACTGAAGCGGAGAAATAAGCTCTATTTCTGTGCTGTGACACCCGGTTGCATCTCGGATGATACACTGTCAGGCTAAGTCAAATCAAAGGCATCCTATGGTGCCTCTGCAGCAGCAAGCAAAGAGAAATTTGCCTTTATTTCGAGCAGATTACACATTTCGTTCAGGCTTCGGTGGCAAAGCATCTCTGATTCCGGGATCTGCAGACGGAAGAGTGCTTAATCAAGGAAATGATGGCCTTGTGACAATCATGAGAGCCGCTTGACTGAGTCACAAAACGAGGTTAATGTGGGAGGGAGAAGAAGGGGGTGCACAAATATGAAATCCAAATAAAAAATCCTTTCCCTGTTAACCGAGGAGGAATGAGTCAAAATAGATTCAATGTTCCAGACACGTCACTCTGACTGCAAATTTAAAAACGTACGTTCATACGTCTGTGTGTGTGCGTGTGTGTGGAGAACAGGATACCTCTGGGCTTATGCTGTGACCTAGATAAGGCCTTGATGCTCCCAAGTCTGTCAGGCAGAGTGTATCCGAGTGTGTGTGTGTGTGTGTGGCATCCCATAGAGTAAATGCATGTGTGTCTAAATGCAGAAGAGAGAGAGAGATGAAACGAAGCTGCACGGCTGCGATGCCTGTGTGACTAAGAGCCTCAGCTGGATGACATACAAATGGGTGACCGTTCACACAGCAAGAAAGCTAATCCAAACACACAGGGATACAAAAACTGCAAGTCTTCAGCCTCTCGCTGCAACCTTACGTCACATTGAATGCAGAAAACCTGTAAAATTACACAACATAACGAAAGCATAGTAAACTCAAGCCCTGATGCCAAAGCTCGTCCCTCTCCATGCAAGACTCAGTGAATCACCCCTCCACCGTTTGGGTGTAAAGCTTAACAGCTTAACGCCCACTATGGATGTAGATTAGATTGTTACGGGCTCTTAGATTTCCCTTCCATATGGCATAAAATTAAACACTTCTGAGGCTTTTTACCTCCATATAGCCCAGATTAATATAACATAATGAACCAAACCCATACCCCCTTCACTCTATTACTCTGCAGCTATTCAGTGCATTATGTAAAAATGACAGGAATCATTTCGCCCCAGTTAATTCTTGACCTGTCCTCTGGCCAGATTTGTCATTAAAGGGTTAATCCCGTGCAGCAGGAGCTCTGAAAATTTAACGAAAGGACAGAAAACTCAGTAGGCTTTAAACGGGCGCGGGACAAAAATAGCCGTTTCTCACACAGATGGTGACTCTCCCACAGAGTCACGCATGGCAAAAAAAATGATGGGAAAAAACTCATCAGCAGAGACTCATCAGTAAACACAAGCGTCCTATTTGCTCCAAACAGGATATGACACATATGCATGTGGAGAGTGCTGTCTCCAATTTCACTCTGGAGAGCGACACGCTCAAAATGTCACCGTTTTCACTCTTTGGCAAGTTCAGAGACTTTGAAGTAAATACTCCCAAAGCAGGAAGGCATTCAGAGGTCAGGTGTGTTATTCTACACAGACTCTTGAAAAAAAAAAAACCCCACCAAAAGTATAAAAGTGGCAGTAACTCATAAACGGTTCAACACTCCTGTCAAACTCGTTGAATTAAAGTTGACATTCTGCACTTCAATCACATGCTGTTTGGTTGATTTAAAATCTACTTATGGAGTTACATAACTGTATGTCTTCTTCTTCTTTTGGTGACTCCCTTTTAGGGGTCACTGCAGTATTCCTATCATACTCCTCTGATCCACCAACCATCCGCATGCCCTCCTTCACTACATCCATGAATCTTCTCTGAGGTTTGCGTCTTCTTCTCCTGCCTGGCAGCTCCATCCTCAGCATCCTTTGTCCAAACCTTCTCAGCCTTGTCTCTATAACTTTGTCTGTCGTCTACCAACGTCACAGTTCACAGACGCTAATGCCTGACCTTACCCGTCGACCTGTCCATCACCTCTGCAAACAAGGAACTCAGAGCACCCTCACCTTTGACCCCATCCGTCATTCCAACTCCACTGCACTCTATGTGAACTTGTGAAAAAAATACCAAAAGAAAAGCATCAACTGTTAAACTTTTTATTAAATGTGATGTTTTTAGTCTAAAGGTAATCACACAAACTGATCAGTCATCACTCAATGTTTCAGTTTCTCTCGGTGAGTTTATCTGTTTTTTCAGTTCTTCTGACTGACTTTTTTGCTCATTTATTTAACAGGCACCACAGCGAGGAGTCACAAAATAGTGACTCTGTAGGTCAAACTGGGAGGAGATGATGCAACAGAATGCCTCATGTTTTATTAATAAAGTTTAGTGTATTGATGACATATCACAGGGAGAGGAATATGATATATTGCTATATCAGGGGTTCGTCCTGCTCTGGGGAAACACAGAGGTTCATAAATCTAAATCTGAGAACCCTGAAAGTGAAGACCTCCTGACTCAAACATTACTTCAAATAGAAAAACTATTGATGCTATAAACTGTATTTGTGCAGCGGTAGAACATAAAGGAGCACCGGTGGTACCTGAGGGCTCAATAACAGTCAGTTTCCATGGTAACGGAAGCGGAATCTATCACAGATTATCGACTTTAGTTTTTGTTTTCACATGCGGATCCTGCGCTGCTCTTTCCAGAACTCGGCAATCCCCTGAGACAGAGCATACTCTGCTAGGCCCCTGCAATCACGGGGGGTGAACCCCACCAAGGCCGTGCCCTTCATGCTGACCCCCTGTCTCCCTGCCAGCTCGGCGACCCTCGCCGTGATGAGGGAAGCCGGAGCGTGACAGTACGACTCGCCGCCGATGCTGAAAGACGGCCAGGGTTCACCTGCGGTGAGGTGATCTGGCGGGGTCCCCTTCACGCTTTCCACATTACAAGCGATTTCCACAGCGCCCCTGTGTGGTAGGGCCAGCACCTGCACTCCAGGCAGGCCTCCCGGCGTCGACTCCCTGATGGCTTTGGCGATGCTGCGCCCCAAAGAGACGTCCTGGGTGTCAATTGTGACATTGCAGTTCATGACGTAGGGACCTGCCCCGACACCTGCAGGAGATCAGACAAATCGGAACTAAAGGAGCTTCTTTAAATCAATAACAACATTTTTTGCAGATTTTTACTAGTGAGACAAAAGTTGCATAGCAATCCTCTTCCTTCTGAAGTCTTATTCACATTCAGAAACAGATTGTTCTACTAGTGCTCTGCAGTCCTCAGCCCTAAAAAATGGTCAGAGTGGCAGAAGCTGTACTGAAAGCTGAAGAGGAATGGACACAGCACAGTCCCCCGTGTCAGACAGAGCACTGCCCAGTCTTACAGACTACATGTCTATCAGGTGGTGTGAGGTGAGCCAGGACTAGTCTCTCCAGCTCTGCATCAGATGTGAAGTGAGGGCAACTGGTTGACAGTCATTTTTCTTGGATAGTGACGACTTCTTTGGTACATGTAGTTCACCAGATGTTCTCCGGAACACTATGAATCCTCAATCTCCTGTCTTGTTTGCCTCCAGTAAATTATTTTTTTCTTTACAAATCCAGCAGTGCTTATAATAGAGACTAAATGTTGCAAAGGCAACAACAGGATACCTCGGCTGTGTGAATCTGATGCTTAACACCTTTTAGTTAGATTCAGAATGTGCTAACAGGCTCAGTGGCCTGACTTTCTTTTTATCTGGTAACACGTCAATGTTATTTTTTTTAGCTGTGAGAACTTTTCAGATTTTTCCTTTCAAAGGTCAGAATAGAGAAGGGAGACAGCCTGTGGTCAGACTAACAAACAAACAAAGATAAAGTCACCTGTGTTGTGTAATCACACCAAAGAGACACTCTAACCTTCATTACCTGCTACCTCTGGCTCACCTGTGAGGCCGAATCGTTTCTGTGGCTGCGGCCCCACGTCGGCCCTGATCGCCCGCAGGTCTGGCATCTTCTTGAACCAGCCCATCTCCTTCCTCCTGTGCGCCAGCCCTCGCTGTAAGGGTAAGTCTGCCCAGCCAAACAGGAAGGCACTGGTGCCCCGGACCCTCTCTGTAAGTCCCTGAGCCACAGCTGAGCCCAAGCAAGAGCACAGACACATTTCAGCTGACTGGCATACAGAGTGCACGTCATCACGTGCACACAAATTCAGAAACGCAAAGGTGCAAAGACCGTGACGGACCAAAACACACCCGCGGGAATGTAATTCAGACGGATGGAAAATACGGACACATGGGCTGCTTATTACATGCATGCATGAATACAGTGCTTGTTAGTGGGTTGGCCAATTACCATTTTTCAATCACACCACACAGATTAGCATACAGAGTGCAGTCTGCAGGCATGAGGGCAAAGTGTTGAGTTATTGCTCATTATCAGATAGACACATGGCTGCGAAGTCAGCTGGTAAACTGTGAAAGTAATCAACAGCCCAAGAAAATAGAAAAGACGTCACATTATCAGCTACATGCAGGTGAGACATGCTTGTAGAGACACAGTGGATGAGCTCATGACCGAAAATGTACTGAGGAATAATAAAAACTACATACACCCTGCTGAATATGTCTGTGAACACACATTGAGAATTTATTTTAAGTCACATGTGATATTTGTCTAAAGAACTAAAAATAAATTACGAGCACTGACAGCCAGTGAGGATTTAAAATATAGCTGTGATTCCCAACCAGGGGTACATGTTAGATAGGATTTTAGGGTTATGTGGGAAGTTGTGTTCAACTAATCTAAAAAAAAAAATGCAATAACAAGTAGATCTTAAAATATTTTACTGGAAAAGTTAGCAGCGGTAGCAACAGGGTAACTCAAATATATAAATGATTTAAATAGGTAGATAAATAAATAGTTAAATAATGACTGGAAAGAAAGGGAGAAGGCTTGAATTTATAAAATAACAACTAAACCTTTGAGAAGTTTTCATATAATAAACAAATTCAAATTTTAAACAAATATAATGCATAACTGTTGAAATAACTCACCTGGCTAACAGTATGGAAACCTTTTTTTAGCTAAACCACTAGCTAAAAAAGCAAGGCTAGCAGTTAAAATCATTAGCCAAAAATGTGCTGTTAGTAAATAATTAGAATTGCTTTTTAAAATTATAACGAAGGGGGGAAATATCCAACTATTAACTTTTGAAATAGCTAAATAATAATTAGGTTAAAGGGCTAGCAGTTGAAAATGTCATCTTAAAATGTATACTAACAAATAAAATTGTTAGCTTAACATGACAGACAAATATTTTAAATGGGTAAAAATTATAAATGAAAAGTTTTAAATACTTAGCTAAAGGATATCTAGCTAAAAGTTGAAATTATTAGCTAAAACATAATTAAATGATGTTAGCTAAACAGATAAATATTTGAAACTACAAGCTTACTAGCAATTAAAAACATACGATAAAAGTATCGATTAATTGAAATAGCAAAACAAAAACTATGAATGAAAGTAGGGTTAGCAGTTGAATATTAAAGGGTTAATAAACACAGGAATTATTAGCTAAAAGTATGAGTAGTAGTGGAAATACTGCATTTCGTTGCCCTGTACCTGTGCATGTGCAATGACAATAAAGTTGAATTCTATTCTATTCTATTCTAAATTTTTAGGCAAGGCAAGGCAAGGCAAATTTATTTGTATAGCACAATTCAACAACAAGGTGATTCAAAGTACTTTACAGAGACATTAGAAACAAAAACAAATAAAAAGCATGATTTAAAATTTTAGGTGAATTAATGGAGAAACTCAGAAGGTTAGTCAAACAATAATTAGTTTGAATGAACACTTCATTTGATGACGGGGTATTTAAGGAGGGTACAGTGTTTCAGGGGTACATTAACTCTCAGGAACACTGTGAAACACATACCGAGCGCCTCTTTAGTACAGTCCTCTGCCCTCACCTCCTCCCCCAGTGGGTAGATGGGTATGAGGTCAACAGCGCCCATGCATGGATGGACTCCTGTATGAGTTTGCATGTCAATCAACCCACACGCCTTCTCGCATGCACACAGGATCGCCTCCCCTGGAAAACATTAAAAAACAACACCAAATAAAAGCTGCAAACTTTGACTGCTTTCACTGTTAAGGCTGTCGTGTTTCGAACAAGGATTCGTAGAAATGATTTTTTTCTCTGTGATCCTTGTTAGAAAAAGGTTCTTACTGGGTTTTTTTTATGTGTCTTTAAATCCCTCACAAAGCTTATTAAAGGATTGGAAGCTGGAGCTGAACCCATTCATCCATCTCTCAGGAGCAAGAGAGTGAATATGGAACATGTTAGAAGCACAAATACAAAGAGGACTTACTGATCGAGTCGATGCTGGACACAATAGTGATGACAGAGCGGTTGTAGTCATAATCATTAAAGATGTTTAACACCGTGGTCCCCTCACGCCTCACACCTGAAGCACAATAAAGACAATACATGTGAATAAATGTCTAATAACAGGTTATATTTTACAGGTAAAGGGCAAATTTAGTGCTTAGAGTAGGGTGGTTATCTGATTATCATCTGGCGCCATCATGGATGACATAACTGCGTACAGGCAGTGATTTTACAGCTAAGAGTTGGGTATATGTAGTGGCTTGCCCTTCAAACTGAGGCTGTAAATAGTTTACCAGCAGTTAGCTCGTGTTGAAATTCAAACTTTTTTTTCCGCTGGTACCTTGAACTCACCTTCAGTATTGTACAACGCTGCTTTGGCCACCGTCTCCACCAGATCCTTCCTGCGAGCTTCAGAAACATTGAGGAGACACGCCACCAGTCTCCTGCCCAAAGAGCTCGAGGCCATGTTTTATCAGGTATGCAGAACTGGGAAAGTAGAAATGCAGCCACTCATTAGATGAAAATTTGAATGTGTAACCAATAAAACGCAATCATGGGAAAAAGAAAGTCCATATTCTTTCAATTCCAAGGGTTCATATATGACAACATTTTAAAAATCCTTAACATTATTTACCCGTTTCAGATGACCAACTCTATCTGTCAGACAGATGGCCTCACATTTCACTCTACAATACTTTGGTATGCCGAAGAGTTCATGGTCAACTCAGGCCAACCCTCCACCACTGTGCTTGACAACTGGTACAATTGGTACGAGCTAAAAATGGCTGCATTAGTTACATTTTAAAATTTGTAATTATCCCAGCATGTATCAAAGTACCAGCCAGGTGACATTTTCCCCATGTTTTTGCTGTTGCACCCACTTCTTTGAGCTCATTCCTTTGAGAAGTTCAGGAAATACTGTTTTTATTTCAACTGTTTGATGATAAATGGTACAGTTCATAGAGCTGCATCTTCATCCCATCAAAAAATGAAGCAGTGAAATAATACTTTTGATTTTTAATGCAATTCTAAGTGTAACATGGATACTCAAGCAGCAACAGAATACGTACATGGGCTATGAAAAGTTCTCCAATAAATATAAGCTGCTGCACAGTGTGTTTAAAAGCTGAAGTTACCTTCCAGCAGATGAATGGAACTCTTCTTATGTGCAGAATGACCTTGATTAGTTTATATGGTTAATTATCAGTCATATAATTATTCAGTGCAGTTTATAGGAATTATTAAGCCGAGTGGCGGTGCAATGGTTTACCCATTGTGTCTGCACAGCTGTTTGCACAGCTGTAGAACATGTACAAAGTCCAGCCTGGTGTAAACTAATTTGCTGTGTTATGCAGGCGGAACCAAAGATGTCAGTGGCACACTTGAAGTATGTGCAGCGTTTATAAGGAAAAAGGGGCAATATAAACTATTTCTGCGGGAAAACACTCACTTTGCACTCGCTTCAGCGCAGCCGCTGCGAACCCACCCACATCAAGATCCACGGAAAGGTAAACACGTTCATTTTATGTGTTCAGCTAAACTTTGGAAGTCTCAGCACAAGATGGTTCCACCCCGATCCCAACCATAGACATTTTGAGATGTGTTTATGTATGTGCGGTCCTCGTATGTATTTTTTTTTAAAAATAAAAAAGGTCTGGGGTGTAAATATTTTTTCCTGGACATGCTGTTACCTACTTATTATTTTTGGAAAATAATACAAATTCCATAAAATTATGAAAACATTCGAAAAAAAATTAATTAGTGGTTTAATCAGTGTCAATTTTATTTATGTTTTATATCCATAAATATCCTCGGCTCACATCGATGACAGTTCACGTTTCTCACCACAAACGTGGTGTTTTATACGATTGCTTTGTTCTTGGCGTCGTTAGACCGCGCGGACGAAAACGGAAATACAAAGGAGGGACTCATCCGATTCCTACCGACGAGAAAACTCAACACATGCGCAGTAGCGCGTACGTTTCCTGTCACTGCAGTCGTTTGTTATTTCGGTGGGTTTGTTTTTGTTAAACAGCGCCTCTTTGTGGACAAAAGGAGACTTTAAAACTGTGACAGTGAAGTAAATCTTGGACGTTTATTCCGCAGGTGTCGTAATGTGAGGCGGACAGCGGTTGTAGACGCCGTGTAGTTGTAATTGTTTGCGTATAATAAGGCTGTGTGGCCCGGTTTGGCGCTACCCGCTGATAATGTGATGCTAACTGACAGCAGCATGGAGCGAGTGCGCAGATGAGGAAAAACGCCAGCTCATTTTCTTATTTTAGAGTCCATGCTAGCCGAACGAGCAGCAGTACTGGACCTGACTTTAATAACTGCGGCCAAAGCGATGACGACGTCACCCTCCGAGCTCCGGGGGCTCCACGCCTCGGCAAGCCGGGATGCACTGTCGGGAACCCCGCTGCAGAAGCTGCAGAGGCTGCCCGCGGTGCCCGGGAACCTCCCCAACCGAGTGAACGACCTGCTGCTCCTGCGGCCTGACCCGGAGGAGCAGGAAAAGAGCAACAACCGGCACGCGGTGTTTTTTCACGGGGATATTCAGGTGAGAGTGATGGAGAAGGTTTCAGGTGGACATGGCTGCCATGGCGAAATTAATCACTGAATACGATTACTGAGGCAGCTCTGTGCCACCTCCTGTGTGTTTAATGTTGGAATCAGTCAATGATTTCTTTCAACAAACCAAATAAAAATGCGGGGAGGCCAGTCCATGGCTGATAGTGCTCCATTGTGTGTGATTCTGTCCAGGTATGATTTTACTGCCTCTGCAGTGCGCTTTGGATCATTGTCATGCTGAAAAATGAAGCTGTTGCCAGTCAGACCTTTTCCCCATGGTATTTCATGGAGCATCAAAATCTGACAGTTCACTTTTGCCGAGATTTCCAACACCACTGGCTGAAATTAAACCATGACAGAGCCTCCACTTTCTTTTACAGATAGATGCTCACTGTGCTAACTCTCTCCTGATCTCCTCCGTACACACTGATGATGATTTGAACCAAATATTAGGACTTATCACTCCATCAGCCCTGTTGCCACTCATTTTCAGTCCAGTTCTTGTGTGGTTTCGCATACTTTAGCCTTTTCTTACAGTGAGACATTTCGGATGTGGCTTCAGGCTTTATTCCCCTGAAAATGGTCAGGAAAAAGTACAGGACTCAGCTGTGCTGCTCTTGTTCTGAGATCATGTAGGACCTCTATGTTGCAAAAAGCAGTTGTAAAACTTCTCATTTCTCTCTGTGCAGAACTTCCAGGAGGAGATGGCGCTGCAGCCTGAGGGTGCCCAGTGGCTCTCCTGGAGCCTGGAGAGGGTCGCCTTCACTCTGGGCTGCCGTTTCCCTGATAGACACGTGTGGGTGGTGAGAGCCTCGCGCATGTACCTGCACAAGTTCAGCTGCTACCAGAACTTTGTGGAGAGCAACATGTTCGGGGCTCCGGAGCACTCTCCATACTCTGCTGACTCTGGAGCGTTTCACCACCTCAGGTTTGTTACTGGAGCTCATTTTGTCTTGTTGAGATATTATTTAACTTGATTACTTTGGCTAAATTTTATCCGGCCTGTATATCAGTTAAGAATAAATTAAGAAAGGTGTAGAGGCTTAAAAAGCCACCTGCAAGCTAAATCATCTAGCTCACAGATGATGACACAGAAAAGGGCAATTTAATGGTGAACGCGTTTCCCGTGTCTTTTCCCAGTTTTCCAAATTTTATGTTTTTGGAAAACATGACCAGGTCTAAAGGTGTGAAGGACAGGAAAATGTTGCTGTAATTCTTTGAGATGATTTTGGATCTTTTCTCTGAGTCTGAGCAGCGTTTCTGACCACAGGGCCCTGCTGAGCCACGGCATGGAGCGAGCCAGCCTGCCAGACCCGCTCAAACCACAGGGCGGCGCTGACAGCATCCCCTCAGGCTTCTCCTTGACCCTGGTGGGCTTCAGCAAAGGCTGCGTGGTCCTGAACCAGATGGTGTACGAGCTGCCCGGGGCCCGTGCTGATCCGCAGATGTCACCCTTCGTCAAGCACATCTCTGACATGTTCTGGCTGGATGGTGGCCACCCGGGGGGCAGTGAGACCTGGGTGACAGACAAGCAGGTCCTGAAGGAGCTGGCCGGCAGCGGCGTGTCGATCCATGCCCACGTGACCCCTTACGAGGTGTGCGACCCGATGCGGGCCTGGGTGGGCCGCGAGCACGGACACTTCATCAAAACTCTGGAGGAGTTCGGGGCGTGTCCAAGCAAGAAGCTGCACTTCAAGGACGAGCCGCCCTCCATCGAGAACCACTTCAGGGTCATCCAGGAGTTTTGAGCGCTTTATGTGATCTTTGTGTCTTATTGCTGGTCTTACCTCAAACCTTCAGATTTAAGGGCTCAGATGAGTCGGATGCTGGTTTGTTAAACGCGCTAACCCTGAGGTGGGACGAGCTTTCCTCTGTTCTCCACTGTCTTCCTCTGAAAGTCCTTCAGGCTAAATGAAAGCTTTTCCATTTGCTCAGACTTTATGTTGCTGCCGAGCTGCTGGTTAATATCCGGTTAGTTTCTCTAACTCAACTTGTTTGCGTGTTTAGCTGCAGCAGAAAAGCTTCTTACATTCTTTCTATACCTGCACTAGCATTGAGCTCATTTTAGACACATGAATGTTTGAGAATCCGGTCTCCGGGTGGACGTCATCAGCAGGAATATCTGCTGATTGTGTTTTAACTGTAATGAAATAACAAGCAGACACTTAAAGTGTTTGAGTTCATTCCTTCAGTTTGATGCTGATGGTGGATTTCCATCAATGACGAGTCAGAAAAAGGACAAAAAAGCAGTTTAGATTTATATTTTTAAGATAAGACACTGCAGGCTAGCAGAACTGTTCACTTTTTGAAGCCATTGAAGTTCCAAAACCAGACTTTAAAAAAAAAAAAAAAATCTTAATTAAGATTAATTATCTCACGAGTTATGTGTGTAAATTGCAGACTGCTTAAAAAAAAAAAGTGCCTGCAGCGTCTCCTCTTAAATCGCTGCAGTACGTTTTATTCTGACACACAGTCACTTCAAGGTGTGTTCACTATGTATTCTGGAGCCGTCACATTTCACATGGTCTTCATCAGCACAGGATGTTCTGCTGATGAAGACCATGGGGCTCATAGGTCAGCTCTGTCATCACGTTTGGAAATCAACTTTTAAACGGTACAACTATAACAACAACCAAAAACTTTCATATTTTACTATAAATGTTTTTAAAATATCAGATTTTATGTTTTCCTGGAGAAAAAAAAAAGTCCATCTGCACAGATTTGTTTTTTGTTTTCAGTAAAATGCAATAATAAGAAGGAACACTCAGGTGCTTTAGTATTTGGGCAGTGGGGCAGTTTTAGTTTTTTGCTTTGATTAAATCTGAATCGCACCATGTGATTAATCTGTAGATGACAGTTGGGTGCTTCTCTTCTGGCCTGAATTGCTTTGGGGTGAGCTGTACAGATGTCTGTCTTCTTTTAAATATTATGGAACTCTATAAATCACCTATCATATTTTTGGATCTTTGAGTAGGTGGGTCGTGACTCCTCCTTTCAGAGAGGGTGTGTGGGAGTTCTCCACACCAGTCTACATGTGTTTTGTGGACTTTGGGATGGTTTGGCTGGGGTGACCTGTAGGGGGTGTTCCTGGACTCCGGGATATCAGGCACGCTGTTAAAAGCACTTTGGAGCCTGCAGCTGCAACGAGAGCTTGGTTCACTTCTCCATCAATAAGCCAGACTCCCTCAGGGTTGACCTTTGACGCTGATTCTGTTTACAGCTTTCATGAATAGAATATCAGAACAGAGGCTGTGGGGTTTGGTGCTGTGGATGCTGTACTGATCTGTTTTTTGTGAAGAGCGAGCTGATGATCTACACCTACATCCACAAGCTGTGGATGCTGACTGAAAGGTGTCCAGGACACCAGAGGTGGAAATGAGCTTCCTCTGAAGGCTTTGGGCTTTTGGGGGTGTCTGAGTAGAGCAGCTGCTTTGCCACATTTAAAGGCATTGGTTGAGGTGTAGTGGATGTCCTGGATAACTTTGAGGCCCACGACTGCTTGGATAGATCATGTCTGCTGGCTTGGGTGGTACAGCGAGGATGTGTGGCCTTGGCGTCTTCGTTTAGGTCACTGCTCCTGTGACTTAGACCCAAAGAACTGGTAGAAACTGGATGAGTCTAATTAGTGGAAACAGATGTTGCTGTTGGTTGTTTCAAACACTAGAAGGCGAGTGCCATCTAGTTCTAGGTGAAGGTGGACATCTTTACAGCTAATATCTCCAAAACCATCTATGGACCCCCTGTCCAGATACTTTTGGATCTGAATGTATCTCATGGTGGCAGATGTGATGTGTTTTTATGACACTGGGTGGGGAGAAGGACAAAAAAAATCTGTAAACTTGCTTGCTGTGTCCAATTAATGAAGTGGATTATTCCTGTAGGACTTCTGGTAGCTGGCAGGGCAGCATGCACTGTACATCCATCTGTATGATCTCTGTATGAGCTTAAATAGCATCTTTGCACTTTGCTGATGGCTGCGAGTCGTTCTGCTGAATGTAACTTCAGATGCATTCCATTGTTTACTACTCGCTGTATGTTGTGCTGTGTTTTTTTTTTTTTTTTTTTTTTTTTTTTTTTTTTTTTTTTTTTTTTTTTAAACAAAAAAACTGAGTGGATTTGACCTTTTAAAGGAGCTCAGCTCTGATTGGTTTTGTTCTTAGACTCTACTGCTGTATGAGTCAGTTAAAATAATCCTTATTTATGTCACATGCTCTCAAAATGTCATTTAGTGGCTGTAACAGTCAAAGAAACTTACTGTCTGGACTATCTCATTAGACGTCCACTGAGTGGGAGTTCTTGAAGCAAATCAATGAAGTATTTAAATATTAAAATGCAAAGCTGAAACAATTCTTCTAACATGGAACAAAGGTCATCAGTTTTTATATAGTTGTTACATGTACCCAACAAATATCCCTGGGAGGGTTGATTGAGGAAGAGTATGTAGGATCAGCCTCTGCTAGTGCCAACTCAGATATGCCGATTGTCCCGCTGTGGTGACCTTTGAACTGAAAGAAGCTCTTAAGGTACTTTGAGCTGATCCATTATATTTAACAAGGCTTGGGACTGGTGCTAAGAGCACAGCAGTTCACATTTGGTCCTCCAGTGTTTAGCTCCATGGTGCAGTGGTCATGATATCAGCTTCCATATATGAGCCTTTATTAGTCTTTGTAGCCCGATTCCTACCATTCACACTGATGGTGGGTAAATGGTAAATGGCCTGTATTTGTATAGCGCTTTTCTAGTCCCTAAGGACCCCAAAGCGCTTTACACAACCTGTCATCCACCCATTCACACACACATGGGTGACATAAAAACCCTATAAAGATAATGATGTATATTAAAAGGTTAATATGAAGTGTTTGAAACATTTTTAATCAGCATCCACTGTTGTTGGGGTGCGTGCGTGCGTGTTTGACAAAAATATGTAAAAACATAACATATCAGGACCCCTTTAGAGCAGTGTTTTCCAACCGGTGTGCTGTGGACGATTATCTGGTTCTATCCGATTAGTAAGTCAGCGGTCCTCAACCTTTTTTGCGCCACGGACCGGTTTATGCCCACAATATTTTCACGGACCGGCCTTTAAGGCGTCGCGGATAAATACAACAAAAAACTAGTACCTGCTCTGATTAAATGGGTTGACAATTCCTAGTAAAACAGAAGGAGAAATTAGTCACGCTGTAAGACTGTGCAGTGCAAAATAGCAATAGATAAATATTTGAAAAGGAAAAAGTCAATCTGAGATGAGTCCTGGAGAAAGTTCTGACCCAGATGAAGGCCCTAGCATGACTAGTGGTCAGAAGAAAGCAAAAAAGGTATACTGGGGACAAACTGAGCCAATTCCGCTATACCTGGTGGGCGGGGAAAAATTATCAATATGCTTTTTGTGACATTTGTTTGTTGGTGTGCGGTGTGATTTTTCTAATGTGAAATATGTACTGTGGCTCCAAAAGGTTGGGAAACACTGCTGAGAGTTACTGAGCTACTGGTTTCCAGTCTGTGCCTGCTCACTGGTACACACTGACACAGTATGACCCAGTATGAACTCTCAGCTCTGCAGGGCCAACAGGGGGCAGCGTGGAGCTGGAAAAATATCAAAGCACAGACACCATTTATTTTCTACAGTCTTTAATGAGCTTTTCCAGTTTGCTTTGTGATGCCTAACATTAGCCTGAAGCTAATCAGAATACAAATTATTTTTTTAGTTATTTCAGATGCAATCAGAACGCTCATACTTTAAAAAACCCAAAACATAAAAAGCAGAATAAAGGTAGATCTGATTTATTTGTGCTTGTGGCAGGTTTCATTCTGACATACAGTAATCCTTCAGTCTCAAGACAACAAAGAGGAACGCTGAGTGACATCAGCGGCACTGACACAAAGAGCGCTCGCACACTCCGAGGCCGCCGAGTGACGCGAGAACAACAGCAGCTGTACAAAAACAACACGACGGTTACAGCAAGAGTCTGACGGAGACAATGGTCCAATGGAGCGTCGGCACCAAAGTGACGTCAGACCCACCTGCTCTGCAGATTTAACCAACTCCAAACCTTTTATTCTCAGAGCAGATGGATTCAAGCTTATTTCCGTTTACAGCAGTCTGCTCTTTTACAGTGTGGCGTTCCAGTTATAAAGGACGACAGCACGGCTCAGCCTCCTCACACACACACACAGATACACAAAGGCCTTTGTGCTGACAGCAACAACAAACGCACGCAGTGTGGTCCCGTTCGGGTTTGGCACCTAAAAATAAAACCAGAGGAATGTTTTCTCTGGAGGTTGAGAGCTGCCACTGTCTGAGGTCAGGATTTGTTGCTGGTGGCACCTTGGCTCCTCTGTGAAATAGTCATCCCTACTTTCTCATCACCTCTCCACAACTTAAAGCAACCATCAGGAAATACTTCTTCCCACACTCACTCTTCCTGTTTAATCACCTCTTTCCTCTCTAAAAACCATCTGACACCTCTCTGTTTCCCCACTTTGACTTCACTTTCCTGAACCACCTCATTGACTAATCCTTCCTTTCATCATCACCTGAATCTCTGCTTATAAGACACGTGAGTGCATTATTTACATAAAAAATAGAAGTCCAGCACATAAATATTACAATAATAATAATAATAATAATCAGCTTGTGAGAATAACATTAAGAATAGAAAACAAAGAGTGAGCAGCAGCCCTGAGATGAAATCTTGAGGCACCCGGACCTGCGGAGGACTGCAGGAGGTCTAAGTGAAGGCTCTGCACACACTAAGTGCTAAAGTTTCTCCTCTAAGAGGAACTCGCAGCTCAGGGAGGAAATCATTTGAGTAAGTGCGGGCACGGCCCACTCGGCTGATTCACCCCTTTATACTTACTTTTACTGCAGCACACTTCCAGCCAGAAATTTCATAATAACCTAAATGCAGATTAACACTGAAAGGTGCATATTTAGATTTTTTTTTTTTAAAGAGCTTTCTATAAGACCCTGAGCTACGTTTAAACCCTCAGTATGAAGCATATGTTGAGAAAATCCAAGTCTGACATCAGGTTTAAAGGCAATCATGCAGCAAACTCTTTCACGAGTGGATACAGGTACCAAAACTATTTTTAGATAATGTTACTCTGACCTGTCCCTTTTTAATATCCTAGAGTCAAAATTTTCCCTCTAATCATGTAGAAGTTGACTTCAGAAGCTTCTTTGTGGCGTATCTAAACTTATTTTCAAAATAATTTGCAAACAGGGCTGTGGGAGTGTAGAAATAGTGGGTTTTATTAACCGATACTCAATTTTGGCTCAGAAGACTGACTATAAGATATCCATGCTGATAAAGGCTTCATTGCATATTTTCTGTTTTTTTATGGTTAAATTGCCTCATGTTATGGTTAAAAACAAAAATGAGACACAGGAGCTCTGGAGGGATGCTTTAGTTTACTATTTAACTTCCTCGCGGTAAGAATGCTGAAAACCTGGAAGTCTTTGAAACTGAACCTTGATGGTTAAAAATCTGTTTAATAATATTAATAGGCTGGAAAATGGAAAAAATTAAGTTGGTAAGTGAATTCCAGAGGGGGGAAAAAAACTCCACTAATGTTGTTGCTTGTATCCTTTTCTGAAGGATTTATCTGCAGCACTATTAAGGAATGTTTGTCCTAAATGTGGTCCACATCTGGCACCGATTCCACCTTACACAAGGCAGATGTCAAAGGAGCATCACCCTAACTCCACCATGTCTCCCAGGCCACATCTGGCCCACAAAGCAGCTGCTATAACTAGCCAAAAGCAGGCCTGATCAGGCCCGAATGTGGCCGCTATCTGACTTTGATGCGACAGAGAAGTTACCCTGACGCGGGCAGCAGCGGATTTTATCTACAGATAGAAACCTGAAACACTATAACGCTGCTGCCTCTTTTAAACATGCAAAGAACAACATGATCTCACTTCCTCATAGCAGAGGCGCTAATCTCTATATCACACATTTCAGCTGAAGCACAAGTGCAACCGAAAGCAGCTCCAGGTGAGTCAACTTCCCACAGTTAAGGCAAAGAATTCAGAAGCACCAGAAATGTTGCATAGATTCCCCTGGAAGTCCTCCGGAGCAGCCTTCATCAGCACAGAGTGGGTTTAAGACAGGAAATTAAATACTTGAGGTTAAACACACCGCATTAACTGAGACGTACTGTACAGTATGAACAGCGACACATCAGAGTTTAGCCGGTTATCTTTGGTTGGTTTGAGTAGATCAGTATAAACAGAACGGTGAATGGTGGCCGGCACGCTGCTGGTTTCCAGGAGACTTAAAACAATTTAAAAGCTCAGAGGAAGAAGTGATCACCGCTGCATCTTCATCTCCCTCTTATCATTTTTGTAGCTTCAAAAGTCAGCATCCTCCTCGAAGCGAAACCTTTTTGCGTGTGAGTGGGATGACTCCAGGAAGTTTTCCTTGTCTTCAAAGTCTTCGTGAGGGGCCGCCCACTTTGTGCCACAGCTCCTGGTACGGAAGGCGGTGGCGGCGGGTTCCGGGCTCATGCAGATTTGCGGCTGCTGCCACAGCCAGGGGTGACTCATACAGTCGACGGCGCTGGGCCGGTCCCTACGGTCAAAACAGAGACAGTCCAACGATTAGACACATTCATGCAAAGAGATCGAGGTGCTGGTGTTTCACTGAACAATCTGATCTTTCCTTCAACCAGATTTCTTCCTTTATAGATTAACACCAGCAGGTTCTTCTTGACATACTAGTTCTGATGAGATCATACTTAGCCCAGCATGCTGCCTGATGAGTGTGAATCCATCACACACCAGTGGAAAAACTTTAAAACAACACATGACGTGACTTGGAAAAACATCCATCACGGTTCTGTTCACAGCTATGTTTTCATTTTCATCTCTCTGTTACATGGAAGTTATGTTAAAACACCCACACTCTTACACTCGCACACAGACTCTCGCACACAGATTGTCATTTACTCACTCAGGTGCTTTGACCAGCAGCTTGCGGATGAAGTCCACAGCGAGCTCAGACACCCTGGAGAAGGCCTCCCTGCTGTAGTCCACATTGACCTGGGAAACATTCAGATACGTCTCCTGCTTGTCGTCCCCAGCAAACGGAGACTCGCCCGTCACCAGCATGTACGCGATGACGCCCACGCTCCTGAGAAACACACACAGGACATATCAGACATGGAGAGTCTGAAGGCTAAATGACACAAGCAAAATATCTGAAATAATCTTAGAAAAACAAATAAGAAGAACGATGTGTTCTCATCGCATTTGCCACAAAAGAAGTGGGAAGCATTACATTAATACCCACACTGCCGAAGATCGCCTTCACTTTCATTTCCAGTTTGTGATGTTTTTCTAATGAAGCTGCATATGTTTTAGATTTATGTTCACAGTGACCAATTCTTTTAAATCAACCCAAGTAAATACTTTACGTTTTAAATTCACTTACAGCTCCACAAATGTGAGGAAATGTGAGGCTGGAATGAGCTTTAAAATTTGTGGCTTGCTTTACATTTTCCAGACTTAACCGTATTTTTATACTTTTTTTTTTTTTCAACCTCACCTATGGCCATTCATACTACACCAAAGTCAAAGTAATAGAGCAGTAATAGATAGACAATAAAATGTCAAAAAGTGTTTTGGTTTTTCACCATCTACTTTGGAAATGTATTATTTTCACAGTGGGTTTACCATAGAAAAAGAAACTCCAAAAAGAAGACATTCTGTCAGTTGACAAAAATGTTGTTTTATAAATGGTAGGACAGTCTGCAAAAGTGCTAACAGAACTTTATCTGTAAATTTAAACATTTATTTCTTACAATTTAAGCTTAAAGCAGCATTCCTTTCCCATGTGGAAAAACTGAGATATATTCCTTAAATTGAACTTCTTTCCTTATTTTAAAATATGTCAGGGATTACACATGTGGTTAAACTTTACTAAATTGTACTCTGACAAAAAGCAGAGTTTCACTGGTCTGGCACACTTGAGATCAAAGTGGGTTGCATGTGGCCCACGATGTAAAATGACTTCCTGTGCTGTGGTCACTGGTCACCACATCGCTGAGAGTCACTTCCAGCACGTACGCAGCTTAAGCTCAGCTTTTATTCTCCTGGTGGTGGAGTTCATGTTACTTTCTCTTCATGCTGGAAGTGGCAAAGTACAAGTGGTGATACCGCTCCTTCCAAAGGGTTAAACCATAGCCCATTTAGTACAGATATACTCACCAAAGGTCACTCGCCGTTGTGATTGGCTCGTAGTTGAGGATCTCTGGAGCTAAATACAAAAAAGAAAAAGAAAAAAAGAAGAAAAAAAGTAAAAGCTGTCAGTCAACAGTGGGAAGAGAAAAGATCTCTGTGTAATTTCCCAGATTAATTACTGACTCATGGTTCTTTCTGCATTTATTTATAGGTGTGTCACTCATCCACTCTCACAGGAGCTAGCACAGTAAAATGCACATGTTGGGTAAGAATTGATCAAATGCATGATCTCTTCTTAGTCAACATTGACAATTTACATATAGTTTATTATTGTGAATCTGACTGATGTTTGTCTATAAATATGTGTGAAATGTCCGCTGCCGCCTTTGTTTCATGAGCGTCAGCTTACCCACGTATTCAGGTGTGCCAAGAATCTCTCGGAGCTCTCCGACCGCACCCAGTCTGCGTGCCAGGCCAAAGTCCACGATCTTTATGTCTCCTGGAGGCGACAGGCTGGTCAGGAGGATGTTCTGTGGCTGAGAGAGGCAGAGAGGGAACAAAGTGAAAGCAGGAAGTGCTCGAGGGATAAAACTCATTTCTGATTGCAAAATTCACCTCATGATGAATGTCTCTGCACAGGAAACAGTTATTTAATTAAATAAACGACTCTTATGATATTGCGCCATTCTCTTTAAAACAGTCTGAGAACATTTAGTGCTGTATGTGACTGTCCTGTAATCACAGGGTATTCACAGGTATAAATAAGACTTATTGATTTAACTTGAAATGAAATTTAAGACCAAATCTGCACACATGAAAGCTGAAAATATGCTCGTTTAAAGTAAATGCACTGAGGTCAGCCAGTATAAGTTCTCCTTTTTCTGTTGTGTCAGTTCAGTTTGGCTGTTTGAGAAGTTAATTTGCTGTATCACTGTTTTTTATTACTTTGATCAGGTCTGGGATTAGCCGATGTCTTTTAAAAGGCTCAAATTGCTTGTAAAAAAGAAAAAAGTGAAATGAAACTCACTTTCTACAACATTATCTGTCTTATTCAGGCCACACCAGCTTGGTCCCTCACACTCACCCAAACTGATTTTAGGACAATACAATACTTCTTTTTAAAGGACCTGTGGGTCAAATGACAAGTATTCCTGACAGTGATGACAGTTTTATGTTGACATGTAAAATTCCCACCCTCATGAGTAAAATAACACATTTAACAAAGGCATTTGCTAAGATTTGGTATTTAGTCAAGATCTTGAATTTTTGAGACAAAAACCCCACACATTTAATCCATTGTTGTGGCCCAGGAGAGTCAGAGGTGTGTGACGATCCTGGTATCAACATGTAGATTTAATTTTGTAGTCCTATACAAAAAAAAAAAAATCAGCTGATTCTTAGGGGCTCAGGTGGTGGACACTCGATTTGACCCTGATGTAGCGGCAACAAAACTCTTCACACCCTGCTGTCACTGCAGCAGAAGTCAGTTCCATGCTCTCTACAATCCTGATTCTAGGCTTAACTGTGGCATTAAAAAAGGAATTTAGGATTTTGAGCGCTTAGAGAAGGGAAACACCCGAGTACTTAAGGTTAAGTCTGTGGTGAGTTGAGTAAACGGTTAAAAATAGATTCACTTTGGTTGGATGTGTCTGAATACCTTGAGGTCTAAGTGGACCAAGTTGCTCTGATGGAGGTAGTGGACTCCCTCCAGCGTCTGCCTGATCAGGCGCGTGATCTGGGCCTCGGGCAGCAGCTCGTCGGATACGCAGTGGTCAAATATCTCTCCACCGGCCGCACTGCATGAACAGGAGACAAGAAGGAATGTCTGGTGAAATATGAAACACAGACCAGTTTGATACAGACTGTGTGTGTGTGTGTTAGAGTTTCCACAGGAGAAAACAAAAATGCATTTATGGATTAAAGGGTGGTGCAGTGGTTTTAGTCTCCAGCCCACAGCCAGAGGGACGCAGGTTTGATCCTGCATGTTGTGGTAAGGTTTTATTGAGAAAGAGAACCTCCTTCCTGCTTAGTCATTGCAAAAAAACCAAAAAAAACCCAAAAACACTGCAGGCACACAAATGAAGACTGAAGCGCTAAAATGTACAAGTAGAAAGTTTTACTACACCTCAGATAACTCAAGCTTCTAACTGCCATTTCTGAATTTGAATTTATATCCTTGTTGCTGTAATCGCAAGCAAAATGTCGGTACGAGTTAAGAACAAGCCTAAAGCTGAAGAGAAAACTCTGGTTTGTTTTTCGCAAGTTTCACTCGGTTGACAGTAGTTAGCACTATGTCAGTAGTAGCTGCATAGACTCCACACATACAAAAGTACGTGACGAGCTTGACTATTGTATGGGCATGCCATGCATCCAGAGGGGGACACACTGAGCATCTGTAAACACTGTAAGTTTTGTATGTAGAGCTTTATGTTCAGCCATGTGTTTACTGCGAGCTTTTAGCTTTTACTACAAATCATATGATTCTTTTTGACTTACCCTGTAGTTTAATCTGCCCGGCAGTATATAAAGTAATGAAAGATTTAAAACTTAAACCTCAATAAAACTTAATTTGCTGAAAAATTGGACCACATTTAAAAGAAAAAAAAGAAGTAAATCAAAATAAGTCCCATGTATTTTTATTTACTTAGTTTTGTAAGTACGTCAAATCTAGGCCTCATTTCTACTTTCTTGTTATTATTATATTTCATTTAATTAAAGTGTTGCACCTAATTTTAGTTTCTAGCTCAGTTAGCTGTAAATAACCATTGCATGTGCAATGGCAGCTGGCTGATGCAGCGTCTTCACACTCAGGTATGAAATAAAGATATATTGATAAAGAATAAGGGAACTGCACGAGACTGAATGAAATAATTCAGGTGAGGAATGCATCTATGATCCAGAACAAGGAATTCTAATGGAAAAGTAAACAGATGAGAGATAAATCAGTAAAAATAGCCGGACGGAGAAAGACTTTCAATAAGAATTCAAAACATGCTAACAAAAGTAGAGGTGGAGAAACTGAGAAAGCAGAAACTAGACAGCAGGATGCGGGTAAAGACATTTCTAAACAGGTGCACTACATAGCAAGTTTTTGCCACGCATGATCGATTACTGCTCCTGTTCTAGAAACCTTGAGTTTGTTTATACTGAGATGCAGGAAATGCTGGGATTTATTTTCCATAAAAACGAGCCAACTTGAATTTCACCTGCTTGCCGGCAGATTTCCTCTCTGACTCCTTCCTCCTGCTTCACCTGAAGCAGCTGATTGATGCTGGGTTTCATTCATACAGTCGATATTAAAGCTCATATTAGAGCACATTAATCTGCATCTTTCTAAGACAGCTGTGACTACACACGCCATTTAACAAAATCAGCCCACAATGACTCTGTGCGGTGTTCTGTAACAGAAACCTACAATTTCCTTGTTATTTGTGGCTGTTACAGAATAGGTTCAATGTAAATCCTGCATGACAAAATAAGAAAGAACTGTGGTACGTCTTTGGCAAAGATAAAAACAATCCTCACAATCTGTTTTAGACATTATGACTCATAGATCCAAAACGTTATCACTCCAGTTTGTAGCGGAGCTTTGTAATGCTGGAAAATGCAGATTGTCAACAAATTGCTCCTGGAAGAAGTTGGTCAGTAGTCTTTAAAACATATTATCTAATGTATTAACTGTATCACAGAAAGTCTTTACTTTGAAGGCACAGTGTCTCTGTTTCCAGTTTGCATCACACTTTTCACAACTGCTTAGCAGGGAGTTTCCTATGGAAACAAATACCAACCACAGCAATCGGCAAGCGACTAAAGCAATTTCAGGGATGTATTTGGTGCAGCACTCAGCAGCTTCCAGACTGCTTGCTGAACAGCTGGGGGAATACAGATTTTTCCCTAGTAACCAGTGGTTGCTACTCAGTCTCTGGGTCGATTGGCACTGAGGCCTAAGAAAGAAACTTGTCCATACTTCTATTATCACTGCATCAAAATGGAGGCTTTGCTATTTATTTAGCCATTGCCATGGCAAATCTGAGTATCAAAGATCCAGGCGGCGATGGATCTATCTGATTTTCAAGCACAATCTCAGGTTGAATACAGACTCAACCTCAGGAGTTTCTACTTTCTGAGTTTAAAGTTGGCTTCGAATACTGCTGAAGCTGCTTTCTGGAACAAGGACCAGGCCATTATTTTCCAGACTGTCTTAGATCAACAAAGTGAGCTGTTTACCATGTTTGCACTTTGGAGGGGATTAAGGTGTCTCCAATGACAATTACAGGTGTGGTTAGAAAAAACAGAGCAGTTCATTTCAACAAGTCCTCATGTATTCTCATATCTAATCTTCCAGTTTCAGTTTTGATTGTACAAAGTGACAAGACAAATGGCGGCACAGACAAAGGACGTGACATTCATTTGAAAAGGGCTTTTAAATAGGAAAGGTTAAGAGGTCAAGACTAAGAGGACGGTGGTTCAGGTCACCTTCAGCTCAAGCTTCCAGCATGTTGCTGTAGCTTTCAACCTATTCCTGATAAACCTGTTATGAAGGATGAGCTGTTTGCTAATTTAGCAGCTCCTTAGGACTTGACAAACAGGACTTCGCCCTCATACAAGCGTTTACAGGATCTCACTGCTGGCTTGGCGTATTTGAGGAAAATAGAAGCACTCAAGTAAAATGTATGAATTAAATAGGATGCAGCATATATAAAAATAAAACAGGCAGAAAGTTTGTGTGAACTCACTATTCCAGCACTAAGACAATGTCGTGATCCGTCTCATAAGCGGCATGCAGGTTGACCACTCGGGGGTTGTTACGTGCCATCTCCAGGACAGCCATCTCATGGATGACCTCTGCCCGGCAGTCACGACCTCGTCTCCTCTTTTTTAGGAATTTGGCAGCGAACGCTTTTCCTGTGGTTTTCTCCACACACCGCTTCACCACAGCAAACTTGCCCCTGAGAGGAAAAAAAAGCAGGACAAGAATACACAAACTGAAGCTGAGTTTTAATTTATTTTTTTACAGTTATATTGATTAAACAGGAAATGCCTGAGTAAAGCTTTTATAAAGTTTAAGTAAAAACCTCCATAGTCAAAAATCAAAACCAATTGAAAAAACTGCAGTTCCTCTAATACCCACTGGAGGCTTCCATGTTAAAATGTCCAACTTTACAGCAGAAATAAACATGTTTACAGCCTGCTACACAGACAAGTGGCCTCTGTAGTTATTTCTACTCTTTTATGATAACCCTACAGGGTTTGAATTTTGTGGGGTGTGAGGTTGACAGATGGATTAGTGCTGCCCTCGCAGTCATGTAGGCTCTGTATAGGACATTTACCATCCTATGTTTCAACACTCACCATTGGTAATGAACTCTGGGAATGAACAAGGTCATGGATAAAACAGACCCAAAAACATTTTGTCTGTTTCTGGGTTCAGCTGTAGCGATAAGGTGAGATTTTTCTTTCTAATTCTTGCTGTAGTAAAGATGTCAGTAAATGTATTTTTTTTTCCTGGCTAACATATCCAGGACATGAATTACCATGCATTTAGGTCAAGGCCATTATGTTCTGAAATTCTGCTCATGCGAGGTGTAAGTATAACTAAATCCAGCTTTTTAAACCTTATTATGGGGCAATATCAATTTGATTAAACACATTTTGTTAGGTTCCATTTATTAATATTGGAGTTCATTCGCTGGAGTTGTTTCTAGAAGAACTTGGTTAGGATTTTTTTAGTCTTCTCCTTAGCACAAATGCCAGAAACCAATGGGTCAAGTCATGGTTATTACACCATCTTATACATATACATATAAGTGTATATAAACAGGCTTTTTTCCAGGCTACAAATTGGCCTTTGGCATCAACTTAAGAGAAATCTTTACTTTTCTTTCCTTTTATTTTTGTCCATTGCGTAAAAAAATGTTTCAGATATTTTTACAAATTGTCTATCAAAGTGCTGGTGATTTTCCTTTGATGTAAAACGAAAGCTTCTTTGGTTGTTTCCATCATTTTTTTTTCTGTGCAGGAAAAACCCTGATAGATGTTGTGGTTTGAGCCATTATCCACTGTAAGATTAATTTAGATGGCTAAATATCTCCAACATGATTCACCGCAAACTTTCCCCAATATAAGTCAAATATAAATAATGATTAATATGTTTCATTTTATGCAGAAAATGCTGATTAGTATGTGGTCCAGCCTTTACAACATAATATCTGTAAGTGACTTTGTGATAAAGGTGTTATACAAATACAGAAATGGCATTAGATAACAGGTTCTGTGTGCGGGAGTGTTATCTAATGCTAGTACATTTCCAACAGCCTACTGCCATGCTTTGTCACCGTGGTAACCATTTGTTTAGGTCATTAAACTTCATTTTAGAGCTATTTTAATATTTAATACGTATTTTAAACTTTGTTTAAAGTTCACCTTGTTACCAGCTGTGCAGATAACAGCCCTAATTTCAGCTCTCTAGGAAAACCTAACTTTTCTAGGTTACAGACCCAGAAGGAGTTCTTTGAATTGTGCTAAAACATCCTGCACATCATGTGATAGCATATAAGCCTCCACCATGTTAAACCTTCATGTCTTCTTGTACATATTCTTTTCCTGCTTAAAGGAAATTTGCTTTGCTTTGTTAGCGAGGGAGTTCAATTATTTAAGTAGAATAGATATTTATGTATATTAAATGGTCAGAAGTAGTTTGGTTTAGTTTAATAAGCAGGAAAATGAAAAGATTTCTGGTGAAAAGCCGACTCTGAGGCAGGAAAAGTCTCTACAACTCAACTACCTGTTTCTTTTGTTTGGCTGCACCTTGTAAACAACAGTGTTGCTCCTGAAACGGTCATACTAGGGATATTCCCTCTCAATGACATCATACAGAGCCAAGGGCAGAAAGACCGGCCTGAAACAGAGTTCAGAGCAGTCCGAAGCCTGAGCTTTCAGCTGACAAGATTACTGACCTCAATATTTGAAACTTTAACCATGTTTAATGCGAACATCCACCAATGGAAGAGGAGATGTAACAGAATAAGCTCCCTCTGAAGACACTTGCCAAAAAGGTGTTTTGTTGGGGGGTTGTTTTTTTTTTAAGATCAAGATCTTATCTCACGTTACAGTCATTTCAAATACACAGACAAATGATGATTGATGTGTTTTTAATTAATTCCATGAACAGCAACAACCAACAGAAGCATTTAAGCTTCATTCTGACAAATAAATAAATAAGTAAGGACACACAGTGAAAGGTCCTTGTTTAGGGATTTAGTTATAGCTGGGAAATTACCTTAAATTCAAAAGTAGAGCTACTACAGTTTAAGATTAACACCTTTGTGCCAGCCATGTTCTCATCACTGAGTTTTAACACATTTCACATCAGAACTTCCTGTTTTAACAAATTGCAAACAAAGTGGCGAGCAGAAGTAACCCAAGCCGGTTCTGCTTTCTTAAGTCTGCTTTCCACATGTACTTGTTTCCTTCCTCCTGCAGACTAACACTAGCTACACTTTAATGCTCTGCGTGACGCATAATGACTTCAAACACACCTCGGGCTTGTCAGGATATGATCATCAGCTGCCTGCGGTTGCCATGGCTCGTACACAAACACATGATAAAGGTCTCCTTTTATACCAAGGCTTCATATTTTCCCACTGTACAATAAAGTCACCTCCCCGGTCAGAGGCTGGAGTGTTAAGACTTAGAGTCCAGAGTCCAATCACCATTAACTTAGTGCATTACACTGCATGACTCGATCTGAGCTATTCAGCCAGCACATGCAAAAAGTTAGGGTCAGTGTATCAGCATGAATACACAGATAAGTGACATCAGCTGTCCTTCAAATGTGTGTTGTTGCAGCTCCTTCTTGAGCTATCTTATTTTATTTTACTGAGCTGTTTTTACTTCATATAATCTAGTTTGTTACGGGCTATGTTTAATATTTTGCTAACCTGGTAATTTTCCAAATTTGGGGATTTTTAAATTTTTTTTCTATCTGAACAGTCATGCAAGACCTCCTCTTTCATGTGACAAGGTAGCACATTTGCTCAACTCTTCCTGTTTATTAACACTCAATGCTAAAAAAAAAAAACATTTTCTGTAGAGTATGTGCAGAAAAGAAGTAAATATAATTTTTTTTCTCAGTTTTCATGCTGTATAGTCTTAACCTCTGTAATTTAACCTCTTGCCTCTCTCTACCTGCTTATTAAATGACAACCCTGTTTTATGTTTTAACTATCCAATTATCATTCTTGGTCTCTACTCCTTCATATTAGCACTAATACACTAATAATTAGTCTCCTGGACAAACGAATCACTCTTGGGCCAACAAAGATTTCAGTGTGCATGTTAATATTAGGATTAGGATTTTTTCATAGTGAGTAAACCACACAGTGGCATATTAATGACTAACCTCACGTTGAGAACCAATCATTTCTGATGTTTTCTTGGCTCAGAATTGGTCAGTTTTTGGGGTCTTCTTCCTGCCATGTATGGCATTTGTCTCCACCCATCTGGGTCCCTCAACATGACAACAATTAAATCCTCATCCCAAACCTTTCCTCTGCTAATGTTTATATTCTGTCTCAGTTTATGCCTCAAGTTAAAGCAGAACAGGACATTTTAGGTTTATTTTTTAAGGTAACTACAAAGTAAATGTGGTCAGGGGCAATATATACAGTATTTTACTGGAATGCAACTTCACATAAACATAAATAGAAGTTTTTTAAGGTCTTATGTAACAGTCTTTGTGGATTTGTGCATTTCCTTGTTGTGATGTAGTAAATGTTAAAAACTGTTAAAAACTGTTAACTGTTATTGTAGGTGTGGTTTCAACAGGAATGCTTTTTGAGTCACAACTCATCTGAAACATGCTGAATTTTTCAAAGTGTGGAAAATTGTCATAGTAAGTGGGACAAGTTTACCCTTATAAAGCCATCAATATTTAACGGTTAAACTACACCCCACCATCACTGGCACAACAGATATATCAGAAGGAAACTGCAGACATGATGTAAGAGTTCTTTTGCACAAACTGTAATTAAAGGCGGAACTTTCTGGAAATCTGCACCTGCCAGTTAAGAGCAGATTAGAGCTATTAAACCTTTCTGCACAGAGGTTAAAATCCAGCCACTGGTTGTGAATATGAATTCCTGCAATAAATCATAAGAATCTTAATAAGGTATGATTACTTGTAAAAGTTGAGAAATACTTCATGCGGTGAAAGTCCTGGGAATTCTTGTTAAGATTGGCTTAGATTATTTTAGCTGTTGCATAGGCCAGTGGTGACAGAGGCCATTACCAGCCTACCAAAGGGCCCTTGTCTAACACCGTTTGATGGCTAAAAGCTTAGATTTTCCTGTTCACTGTCATTTCTTTTGTGGAGATACAGGTTCACTCCACACTGTGAAAATGTCTTAAAAGTTAAATTACTCAGAAAAACTCAAGTGTGACAGATTTAACCCGTTCCATGGTGGTGTGTAAATTTTAAAATACATCTAATGACAGTTGAGTCAGTAAATACAGAATACTGAGATCTATTTGATCATCTCTTAGGCTGTTTAACCGTTTTCCAAATTAAATACTACTTCCTGTAGTCTGGTACAGGAAGGGCATGGGGAAAAGGTTGCAGCCTCTTTTGAACCTTTGTCCTAAACCAGCTGAACGTTTTCAGACTGTTTTTCATTGCAGTTAAAAAGAAAGGGAAATATTTACTGGCGTGTTTTTAGAGATCAAACAGGACTTTTTAGTCCCATGGACTAAAATGAGTGTGATATTTTTACTACTTTAGTTTTTACTCACTGTAACACAACTTCAGGGTTTTTCCTGCTCAAAACACAGCCTTTGGGGGTTGACTACACTGTGTGTTACCTTTTAAAAATAAGTTTATGACTTTACTGTTATTTTTGCCTCTTTGCTGAGCACCAAGTATTTTATATTCACAAAAAACTGAATGACAAGCTTGACACTAAATTTTTCCACAACTCTGGTATTGTAAGGAGTAATTGTAAGGAGTCCTGAAACAGTCTTAGAAGAGCAGAGGATGCACCAAGTTTCAGATTTTTAATATATAGGTGTATCGTCTTGGTTAATTTCATTCAAAAACATAATGTTTTGACATGAAAATTTTATGTTTATGAACAGCATTTTGTTGCTGTATAAGATTAACCATAATTCATGTAGCAATCACAAATTTCAATAAATAACTTTTTTTTTTTTGCTTAAAGTGGGCAAAATATTTGCTGTACATAGATTGTAAACGAAAACCCCTTTGAAAGCCTGCAACACATTTTACTCACATGCACCTCGAGAGACTAAACAGACTAAAAACCTCTTTTCTCAAGAATACATTAATGATTCGGTACAAAGCTCATGTGTACTTAGGTGAAACTGCACAATTAGCCCAGTATTTGGTCATGCACACTTTCGACTAGGTAGAGTGTTGTTTGTGCTCTATAACAGCAATAACTTTGTGTCTTTTAAAGAACATCAGACTTTAAATACCTTCAGATACAAAGTTTTATATTAGCTTTATATTATATTATATAATATATATTAGCTTTATATCAGCCAGGGATATATATCAGCCTAATAGTTTCAAACATCCCTCAAAATCTATATTCTATCTATCTATGCAGGAGTCACTATTTTACAGCCTATCCGTTAGTAGAAAAGTAATCTCATAGCATACTGGATGCACAGATTGAGAGCGCATTTACCTGAGAAAGCATTGTTACAAGCATGCTCTTTATTTTAATCAATATAAATAGATACATAAGCAATACAATGCTCCAAACCTAATATTCCCAGTCAGCCCTTGCATTAAAGGTTATTCCCAGTAAGGACCTTTTTTCTTTTTCTTTCTGGGAAAAGGGTGCTTGATGTGTAGTGATCGTTAGTGAAGAGGTACTGTTTAATCCTAAATTAAGCTTGGTGAATATTTAGTAGGAGGGTTATGTGATCTTTAAAAATGTCAGGTGTCTACTTCTCCTTTTTTGGAAACCAGACTGTGTAAAGTTCACTTATGAAAGACACAAACAAGAAGCAAGTTACATGCATACATGTGCCTTCTTGCTCTGCTTTATCTTCAAAGCAATGACAGTCAAATAAAGAAATGCTTGGAAAAACACTGACGTGCACCTACTAGGAAATGTAAGCACACGCCATGTTTTTAACACTTGATTTCTTAGTTCTTCTTATTTCTACACCACTGAAAAGAACACTAATAACAGATGTAGCCGGTAGGCTATATATATTGTCCCCGTCTCCAACTGATTCAGCTCCACTGTCACAACAGGCATGGGAAATCTTTCACAGCTCCTACAGTGCGACGCATCTGTCCACCAGAGAAACATCCGTCCTATCATCTGACATTTACTTTGGTGATTTTGAGATATTTGACTTTCCCTATATCAGTAGCCGTGTATTTACATGTCTACAGTAAAGCTGATACCTTCTATGGCACTGGACGGTGCGTTCCTGTACCTGTACTTCACAAATGTAGTACTAAATAAATACAACAAAAGACTTATAAGTAGTAACCCTTTCTTAGTAAGTGATAGTAATACAGAAACTGAGTTTCATCTGTAAATATCTGACTGTATAGTGTCAGGTACAGCTCCCAGGTGTCATATACAGCAGGTGCACTCTCTGGCGGACTCACCTGCCCAGCTCCCCGGTGATCTCGTACACAGTCTCCAGCGGCTCCGTGCTGATCGGAGTCTGAATCTCGCCGAGCAGTCCGGCGGAGAGTCCGCTACGACTGTCCAGCCGCCTCCGAGACATCTTCCTCTCCTCCTCGGTGCTGCTTCCCGGCTGAAAACGGTGCCAAACGCCGAGCAGAAGTGAGAGAAACGGTGAAAATGAGCTAAACTAACGTTACCACTGCTCGTTTCGCCGTAGTTACGTGTTAATGTTAGCTCAGCCGGTCACCGCGCGCCGCTCCAGCTCCCCGGCTAGCTCAACTGTCGCTAAGTTAGCTCGACGGCACTTAAAAAGTGACTTAAACCGATTTTCCTCAGCTCAAGAAAAGCGAAGCTTGGGTCTATAAAGTCCGCACTCATGGGCTGTTAACACAAAACCTATCCGAGCTGCCGCTGCGGTCGGCTGTTAGTCCGCTCATTGAGTTTGTCCGCACAGTTTGCGATCATTTTCACATCCCTGTTTGACAACGTCGTCGACGCGTCAGTGCGCATGCGCACTGCTTTTGCGTTCAGTTGAAAGGTTTGAATTTGGACACGGCCGAGATATGGCAGCCTATTCATGTCACTAAAGGAGCGGGTTCGAAGTTCAGAAAACATAAATGAATAAAATAAATAAATAATGAATCTTAATACTCAAAAGTTGGACTGTCAAAGTCCAACTTATGAGAGTTAATTTAATTTACAATATTTGTGAAATAACAAGCTTAATGTTTGTTTGTTTTTTATTATAAATATAAGACATATGGTATATATGTGTGATATGATTTTTCAGTTTTACAATAATTTTATTATAATAGCACTTCATCACCTTGACATACTATCTAATAATGGTGACTTATTGTAATTATAGATGGAAAATGCCAATCATGAAATAGAAAATGCATATCTAGGTCTTGCACATATGAACTCAGTTTTCAAGATTTTAAATCTCTTAGCTCGTGTGTCTTTAAAAACACTAAAAAACTTATTTCAAAAATACATTTGTAAGATGAAAAGTTTAAATTATATCAATGGAAATTTAGATTTGATATCTCACAAATTTGACAAAATATTCTACAAAATTATCAGAACTTATAAGTTTTTAAAATTTATTTATTTTTGCCATTTCATCTAGTGTTTCTCTTTCTCGCACAAGGTTGCTTCCACATAAAACCATCCACTGTGTATGTACAATGTGTACCTTTATTAACAATGATCTAAGCTTAACACAGCCCTCAGCATCTAAACCAAATTTTCATTACTGCATGCATTCCAATCTGATATCTTTAAATATCTGCATCATTAATATATTAATGTAGCTTCACTTATCCTTTTTCCTTTTGTTACTTGGACAGAAACCTCAGGTTTAGTAGAGGAGTGTTTAATCAGGGTGAGGCCTCCTTCATGATATACTTTGGTACCATTAACACAGTTTGTTGTTGACATACAGTGGCTTGCAAACGTATTTGGCCCCCTTGAACTTTCCCACACTTTATCACATTACAGCCACAAACATGGATCAATTTTATTGGAATTCCATGTGAAAGACCAATACAAAGTGGTGTACACGTGAGAAGTGGAACAAAAATCATATATGATTCCAAACATTTTTTACAAATAAATAACTGAAAAGTGGGGTGTGCGTAATTATTCAGCCCCCTTTGGTCTGAGTGCAGTCAGTTGCTCATAGACATTGCCTGATGAGTGCTAATGACTAAATAGAGTGCAGCTGTGTGTAATCTAATGTCAGTACAAATACAGCTGCTCTGTGATGGCCTCAGAGGTTGTCTAAGAGAATATTGGGAGCAACAACACCATGAAGTCCAAAGAACACACCAGACAGGTCAGGGATAAAGTTATTGAGAAATTTAAAGCAGGCTTAGGCTACAAAAAGATTTCCCAAGCCTCGAACATCCCATAGAGCACTGTTCAAGCGATCATTCAAAAATGGAAGGAGTATGGCACAACTGTAAACCTACCAAGACAAGGCCGTCCACCTAAACTCACAGGCCGAACAAGGAGAGCGCTGATCAGAAATGCAGCCAAGAAGCCCATGGTGACTCTGGACGAGCAGCAGAGATCCACAGCTCAGGTGGGGGAATCTGTCCATAGGACAACTATTAGTCGTGCACTGCACAAAGTTGGCCTTTATGGAAGAGTGGCAAGAAGAAAGCCATTGTTAACAGAAAACCATAAGAAGTCCCGTTTGCAGTTTGCCACAAGCCATGTGGGGACACAGCAAACATGTGGAAGAAGCTGCTCTGGTCAGATGAGACCAAAATTGAACTTTTTGGCTAAAATGCAAAACGCTATGTGTGGCGGAAAACTAACACTGCACATCACTCTGAACACACCATCCCCACTGTCAAATATGGTGGTGGCAGCATCATGCTCTGGGGGTGCTTCTCTTCAGCAGGGACAGGGAAGCTGGTCAGAGTTGATGGGAAGATGGATGGAGCCAAATACAGGGCAATCTTGGAAGAAATGTGTAATAATGTGTATGTGTTAGTCCGCATAGGGAAATAGTTCCTCTGCATTTAACCCATTCGCCCAGTGAAGCAGTGGGCAGCCACCAATGCAGCGCCCGGGGAGCAGGGACGGTACCTTGCTCAGGGGTACCTCAGGGTAGCTGTTCAGTGGAGTTGAACCCCCCGACCTTCCGATCATGGGGCCACCACTCTACCTACTGAGCTATCCCTGCCTACTAAACCTCTTGGAGTCTGCAAAAGACTTGAGACTGGGGCGGAGGTTCACCTTCCAGCAGGACAACGACCCTGAACATAAAGCCAGGGTAACAATGGAATGGTTTATCACAAAACATAGACAAGGTCTAAATCCAATCGAGAATCTGTGGCAAGATCTGAAAACTGCTGTTCACAAACGCTGTCCATCTAATTTGACTGAGCTGGAGCTGTTTTGCAAAGAACAATAGGCAAGGATTTCAGTGTCTAGATGTGCAAAGCTGGTAGAGACAGCTGTAATTGCTGCAAAAGGTGGTTCTAAAAGTATTGACTCAGGGGGCTGAATAATTACGCACACCCCACTTTTCAGTTATTTATTTGTAAAAAAAAATGTTTGGGTTCATGTATGATTTTTGTTCCACTTCTCACGTGTACACCACTTTGTGTTGGTCTTTCACACAGAATTCCAATAAAATTGATTCATGTTTGTGGCTGTAATGTGACAAAATGTGGAAAAGTTCAAGGGGGCCAAATACTTTTGCAAGCCACTGTATATTAGATAACTTTAGTAAAAGATAAGTAAGATCGTGAATCATTCATAAAAATTTTCCATTTGTTCTTTTATTACAATCATTGGAGTGAAATGGACACACACACACATACAGGAGCTTTGCATAGAGTGGAATTCTGAAAACTGGAGCCGGGTCCTGTCAGATGTACACAGAAAGACGAGCGGTGCAGCAGTCTTCATCTGCACCTGAAAAGCCTCAAATTGATGGTGAACCGAAACTGACCCAACCGGGTGAATATCCTAACGTGAAGCGTCGCTGCCCATGCCACAAATCTGCTCCTCAAGCAAACATGAGGTGATGCTCTGTGAGCCAGAAACAGCGGTGGGGAGGAGGGGGGAATGTGTGGTTGTTCGACTGAAATAGAGAGCAGGCCTAATGGTTGACTTTGCAAGCCCCAAACCTTTGGTACATCCGGTGCAAAATATATATATTTAAACACACAACAGGACAGACATACATATACATTTATATACAAAGAGACAAACAGGACTCCACACATGGTACACATACATGTGCTCTCACAAAATCAAAAGCAGCCCTATTGATCCATTACCTGTTCAGCAATGAACCATGACCATCAGCCTGTGACTGAGACAGGCAGACACGCACATGTGAAGTTTTCGAAGCATGCTGCCAAAATACTCGCTGTTCCACTGTCACGGAGAGAGCTAACAAACACCATCATCCTCCGCCTTGTTCCCACGAGCTAAAGGTACGACAGTGCCAGGTGAGCACAAGGGCGCACGCCTCAGGTGGAGCGCCACAACCGGAGCGCCACAACTGGAGTGGCACAATTTAACCAGCTCCCTCACCCCTTTGTCTGAATGTATAGCAATATCCTCATGCAAAAAAAGCTAGTAAGGACAGTGTGTTGCACTATTTCAGCATGCAATATCGAGCTATAACACAACGCCACCTAGGAGTTTCTACCAGGTCCAGCTCACGGAGCTGACCAGGAAGATCCTGCATGCATTATTAGGGCGGGGGTGGGCGAGAGGTGTGGGTAGGGAGGCGGGGCTCAGATACAAAAGTCTGCCCACACATGTCGCATCGCAGGTGGGGATCTCTACCACTATTCCAGCCCCTGTGGTCTAACTCCAACAGGACTCTGTACAGTAGGTGTAATCTTGCATGCACCCTGTAGAAAATGAGTTTGTGTGTGTGAGTGCACTCAATGTTCGATCACATGCTTCAGAGACAAAACTACTGTCTGGCATGGACTGTATGCAACAAGTTCTAAAGTACAAGGCCATCATCATCATCTTAATCTACCCTGGTCAGGAAGCCACTCAGAGAGGACCAGACCACTGGTTGTTTGAGTTGAGTGGGACTTTGCTGCCCTCTGGTGTTGATATCTGATATTTTGTTTTAAAAACTGCAGCTCCTACAGTGAGACGCTTGGATCTGGTCACATGTTTGCAAAGAAATAAAACTTCATTCCCAAGAGGCACTAAAATAATCCCACCAATGCCTCATGGTACATCTAATAGCCATTCACTAGAGCGATGCATCAAAGCGGCCACTGCGTTGCTCAGGGGAGTTGGACCTCAGATGCTGCACATCTATGAAAGCAAAGGTTTATATGCAACTTAAAAGCACCATAATGCAATTAATTTAAACTATTTTCAAGCAGTTTAGTTTTCTAAAAATACCAGAAATTTATTTTTGATACTTAAAATGTGGATTTTTATTCCTAAATCCTTCTTTTACTTTAGCAGTAACAGTAGTAATTGCTATACATGATGTTTAAAATCGTGGATCTGCTTTTTGTGATGATTAGTTAAGTGTAAAATGTAAAAAGTGATGGGTATATGCCATTATTTTGACCTTCCACTGTCCTGTCAAAGTCTGAGTTGAACTGAGAGCTGCAAAGAAAACATTTTGTCTTCTCCTCACAACTGCACTCCATCAGTGACTTCTATTTTATCATTTTGGGGATCTTATTGGTCCAACCATGAAAAGTGTTACATGAGTGAAATATATATATATTTTTTAACGGCATAAAATTTGATATGATTGTAATTTTCTCCTCCTAATTACTGCATTGTGATGTTTTGCAGTGACTAATGTTAGTGCATGGCTAACAGACTGAGATGTCCTTCTGCATAAAAAATGATTTAAAAAGATAAATATTTAAGTTAAAACACTTTAAAATATGCATCCTTGGTAAATGAAAGAATATAGATGCGATAAACACAAATAAAGCCATTAAAAACCATAAAAATGAGCCCAATGATCAGTTTAATCAAGGAATTGG